GCAGGACACGGGTGGCAGTTCGGCGACTTCGCCGGCGCCTTCGTTGTTGAGTGGGCCTGGTACTGGCGCTGCTGGCCTCTGTGTTGCCGAGCTTGATGGGCCCGAAATGCTCGTAGTCTGCTGCCAGGGCGCCAGATCGGTTTTCCGTGAGCGGGAACTCGGGCTGGGAGCGCCGAGGTGCCGACTTTGCAGGTGAGGTTCCTGACCTGCCTGTGAGCTGCGAGGCGGGGGTGATTTTTCTCTCTCTTCGGCCTGGGGACGAGGCCTGGCTGTTAGGGGGGTTCTGGGACCGGGAGGCTTTTCCCTGGTGGGGGCGTCCATCCTGTGGGGAGGCCTTAACCGGCCTCGGAGCAGGGTGCTGAGGTGGAAGTAGTGGTTGGTTCACCGGCAGTTGGGGGAACTACTGTTGATAGTGATACTGGGAGATGTTGTGCAGTACTTGGTGCTGTTGGAGCTGGTGTTGCTGGAACTGTTGCATTTGGGCTTGCATTGCCCGCATGCACTGCATCAGGTCGTCCAAGCGGTTTTGGTTGGTTGCCAGGGGGACGGCAGTTGGTTYAGTAAAGGTTGTCTCGATAGGGGGAGGAAAGGGGATGCTCATGGCAGGAAGGTTTACGGGCGCCACTGCTTATGGCGCATTCAAGCTAGGGATCCCATCCATCGAAAGGGGGATGGTGAACTGTCCGACGCACACCACAGGGACTTGAAGTTGTTCCCCGATGGTGTTTGTCTCCGTGCCACGTCTGGCGTTGCTGGAAGAAGCCATGAGTGTTGGGTTTTTTGAAGAAAAGAGGTTATGAGAGTTTAGAGGGAAGCTTTTTGAAGCATTTCCCACAGACGACGCCAATTGATGGTGCACAATCCGCCCGGTCTTAGTTGTCAATGACCTTGCCTCTGAACGGAATTGCGGGGAACCTGAAATGGAGAAGATGGGGAAGCTCCGGGGGGAACCCGGTGTGGAGACTTCGAAGCTTAAGTTAGAATCCTTCAAAGGCAAGATAAAACCAGATAGCGCAAAGTTTGCATACCTTGTTCTTGGGGGTAGGGGGCCTTTTATAGCCACCTCGTGCACTCACTCCTAAGCTTCTGTCAGGTCGGGTATGATTACCTCTGGTCTCCTGCTAGTTCGGGTGTCATCCCCGCTGCTGGTCAGAACCGCCACTGCTTCCTTTTGTCGGAGCCGTCTCTACGACTGGCGATGACGGTGGCAGGTGGCGGTGGTAGGTGACCGTTGAAGTGCGGCTATCAAGCGTTAGATCCCAAGTCAGTCAGATGCGCCGCCCCTTGGATACGGACCTCCTCGGTGTCAGGTATGGTACGTTTGTTCAGTTCGGCGTCTCGGAGGCAAAGTGCTGGAGTGGYGAACGAGGTGAAGTCTTGAGTTCGGATAGGGAAGTGTCCCGAACTGCCATGAGGCGGGCCAATTCGGGTCATTGCCTTGTGTGGCTAGGGGCCCAAGGGAGAGTTCGGGCTCCTCGTAGGGAGGTCGGGCTCCTCGTAGAGAGTTCGAGATCTTCAAAGGGGTTCGGACTACGGGTTTCTTCCCTTTAGTGCTTGCGCCCTGGATACGCTGTTTTAAGTGCCGAGCTATTTGTTTTTGCCACATGGAGTGATTGCGAGATCGGGCCAAATCTTCTTCATCAAATCCCAAATGGAGCCTTAAAGACATCAATCCAGGCACATGGTATTCTATCTAGGTCTGGTTCCAATCCCACGGTTTGAAACTTCTTTGTCTCTAATCACGGGTGTAATAGGATAAGGAGGAAGTCTATGCCTACGAAGCAGGACAACGAGAGGAAACAAACTAAACTGTAAAGAACGAGGGGAGAGAGAGAAAAATAAAATGGCGTGGGTTGATGAATGAGAGTGAAGTGTGAGACGGACAGTGAGACATGTCCTTCGGGCTGGTCCCGATAAAGCAGAAACATTCCAAACTGGTAAAGTTAAAACTTAAAACCACCCCACAAGCCACCTTTATTTTTTTTTTCTGCATTGCTTCCTTACGTGAATTAAAAAAAAAAAAATAACCGTCATCATGTATGATCTGTAAATCTCCATTCCTGGTTTCCTTGATGTTGGACATTGGAGCTCGATTCAATCATTAAGAACAGGGTGGAGAAATTAAGATAAGGGATCTCTAGATGTTACAGAGTAACTCGTTCCTCGCGAGATGTTTTTGGTTTATGAGTTAGTAGATCCTTGGTCTTGGCCTCTTGGGTGTGTTTAAAAAGAGAACCATCTCATGGTTGAAGTGGTTCTATTTATATATATCCGTTTCTTGGTTTATGCTCTTTTTGGTTTTATTTTGTGAGACCTTGTGCGATAGTCGGTTATGGGGGGAGACAGGAAATCGTTTCTTTCTGGATTTAATGCTTTCTCTACTGTTTTCAGAGTGACCCAAGACGTGATTTCAATGACTGAGTGAGACATTGAGTTAGACATTTGGAGGAACTTTTCAAACTTCTTTTCAACTACACTGATTTATCTTTGGCACAAAGTTTGTACTTTTCTTTTCTCTGCTCTAATGATACGGACCAGGTTCCTCGTTGCCGAAGTATTGCTATATACTCCATTTTGTATTTGGGTTTTCTAGCTTTTAAATTTGCAGTCTTTCTCGTCATCTAGATTTCTTAATTGCAAACCTAGTTTAGATTCTGGGCTCTTGAAATGTTTGTGGATTTCTGCCATTTTGTGACTTGTGAGACATCATATTCAGGATTAGAAAGGAGGCAAAATTATTTTTGAGCTCTAATCCCTGGTTCTGAATCTGGATAGCTACACATTTAAGGGTACTAAGGATGGTTGTAGAGGAATTTCAAGTAATTTTGGGATCTATATCACTGGTTTCATTCTGAATATTGTTTGTCGTCTGCATTTTTTCGTCAACGTTCCAGTATGGCCGAATTTAAAGTTGCAAGAGTAGAACAAGGTCACACCAAGATCAGAAACGTCCCTATTGCCGTAACACCTGAAGGTTTTTGGTGCTGCCCCTCTCCCGTTGTGTTTCAGAAGACCCTCAAAACTCAAAACACCCAAACTAAGCCCAAACCCTCCCCTCAACCACCCAAAACCTCCGTTCAGAAAAAGCAAACCTCTTTACCTGAGAGAAAACCAACTCCTCCATCAAGATCGAGAATTGTTTCGGATGATCAAAGAACTGTTAGCTCTGATAATGCTGTCGTTAGTCCACCTGTGGTTATCGAGAGAGTGCCAAAGCCCAATACCGAAAATTTGCAGCGGAAGGTTGCAGTTGCGTTTGGTGAACCCGCAACCAGTGATTTGAAAGTGGTTTTATCTGGAAAGCAGGGTGTTTCTGTAACAATGAGTGCTCACAAGGATGTGCTTGTGGAAAATAGCAGTTTCTTTGCTGATAGGCTTTCTCAACAAGACTCCTCTTTGCCCTGTCTTGAAATTGGTGACTGCGAGGATGTGGAGATTTATGTGGAAACTGTGGGGTTGATGTATTGCAAGGAATTGAAGCAGATAATAATCAAGCAAAGCATTTCACGAGTACTTCGTATTCTCAAGGTATTTTATGAGAAATCCACTAGTGATTTCCCTACCTATCTTTGCAGTTATGGAATTATAAGTTAATGATTTTGGCCCTGGTGTTCTTTATTTCCATTCCTCTTCATGGCCAAAGTATGATCTTGAATTCAAGAAAATTAGCATCCTTTCAAAATTTTAGCTTTGATTGACTGCATTTATTTTATTTTGTCTCTTAGTTGATGTGAGGGTACTTTAATTTGTTATAATTCATGATTAAGTGTTCTTTTTCCTGTTTTATAAGTGCACTTTGGGGGTGCTAGACAACATGTTTGGTTTTGTTTTTGCTGATGTGGTAGTTGTTTTTGTTTTCAAAAACAAAACCAACCATGTTGTTGAACACCCCCTTAATCTTTTAATGGAGACTTACTGAATATAAATTTTATAGTAGGAAATTAGGCTGCAGCAATGCACTCCTACTAAGGCTACATTTGGCATTCCTTATTTTAAGGACTTATCTCCTTTTTGCAGTTAAAATGTCCCTATGAACACTGAGTTTTTAACTGCAAAAAGGATAAGTCCTTAAAATAAGGAATGTCAAATGCATGTTAACAAAAATGCATTTTATCTTTCTTTATTGAATAACTCCAAATATCAAAAGTTTAGAAAGAATTAGAAAACAAGAATTCTATCTGGTACATCTAGCAGATGTTCACATATGGAGCTCTTAGAACTTTGCAAGATGTAATTGAGCATCTCCTTGTGATAAAACTTGTTAAAGCGCATGTATGAAGCTGTTAGGTTAAAACTATGATTATGTTCCCCTCTTTCCCTCCCCTCTTTTGCATTCCATTTCTAATCATACATTATTTTAATGAGACTGGTGCCGTCACTTGAATCTTTTTGATTTTCATGTATTCTATAGCAGTATAGTTAAGAGACTGGATCTGCTACCTACTCAGCTTCCAACATGATGGCTGCACATCTCAAGTACAACCCCATCAATGATAACATACAAGCATGAAACAACTGATAAAAAAACATACAAGCATGAAACATGTTTGCGATGTGTGGCTGTAGATCATGTTGGAAGCTGTGTGGGTAGCAGATTTGGACTCCATGTTTGAGATGTGCGGCTGTAGTGTCTTGTCGGTAGGTGTGGGTATGTCTTGTTGCTAGAGTGTGTAGGTAGCAGATCTGGACTCTATTGTAAAAGCCCATTAAAGTATGCTGTGCTCTCAAGATTTTCAGCTTGAGAGCATTGGGTACATGGGTACATGAACAGTCTTACTGCTGCATTTCTAGGCCTGGAGCTCAACAGAAGATTCTCTGTACCCCTCTCCTATCAAGAAACTCAGCAATATCATTACATCATCTATGCACCTATCTGCATGAGCTTTTCAGCCTAGCCAGGCTAAGGATTTTGCTTCCCTAATGAGGTACATGTATGTTGTCATTGAAAGGGGTTGTACTTGAGGTATGCAGACATAGTGTCTTGTGGCTAGCAGATCCAGACTCTTATGTAAAAGCCCCACTAAAGCATGCTGTGCTTTAAAGTAACCTAATTAGTGGAAGTTTAAGCATGAACGAGTAAAATTGGTTGCCCTTTCTATTTTTGGCGATAACCCTTTTTAGGAGTATTTTCCATAACCAACTAGTGGTACCCAATTGGAAGAAGATGGTTCAGGGAGAGCCAAATAACCACCAACGGACATGCCCTCGAATCCTCGATAGAGTGGAATGTGAAATGAGATTCATGTCACTGGCTCCCTAATAGTTGGAATAAGGCTTTATTGAGTTGAGATTATGAATAACTTGTATCTAGATAGAAGTTGCTTTCATATTGATAACTTCATATTGAGATTACTCCTGCAACAAGCTTCCCACCACAAAGTTGCTTTCATATTAATATAACTCAAACACACACACATGCAGACCTATTTGGTTTGAAAATTTGAGCTTTCTAGGAATCGAAGGAGATACAGAGAACTGTGACTTGGGTTTATATGTTGAGTATTGATCTTTTTATTTTAATCAACAACATGATTAAAAGATTTCATTAATAAAGGAGGACCTTGCTATTCAGAATTTATCAAGGACAATACAAAGCATTATTACTAAACAGAAAACATCTAATGAAAACTTACAACCCAGCTTAAAGTTGTAACCCCTTTACCTATAAACCAGTCAATTTTGATATGGTGCCCCTGGGACTGGAGTCACTGACTTTGTTGTCTGTGTTTATGTCGTGTCAGAAACCAAGAAAATAAAGAAAAAATACATAACAGAAAACAGACAAGTTTTAACATGGTTATGTGATTTGTGCCTACATCTACAGACTCATCATCACCATCATCCATGCCCATATCCACAGACTAACCCCTGCTAAAATTCATTATTCTCATTTCAATAGATACAGTCCTATGAACAGATTAGTTTTTATATCACCAAATTAGGTTTTTCAATGGCTTTCCTAATTTGAGTTCAACTGAGAATGTACATGGTAAAACAAATACAGAAATACCCGTGTGAATAATGTAGAGTCAAATTTTGCATGCTGTTTTGACCCTGTTTTGCTTAACAGAGATACGTTCTAAGTTCTAACACAAGAAACCTATTCATCAGTTTACTCTCTTTCCAACAAGAGTGGCCAAGGCATTACCAAATCTATGATTTTACCTAAAAAATCTATTCAGGCTAAACATAATGCCTTTGCTTCTCTCGAAAGCAACTTAAATTGCCATTGGCCTTTTTCAACTGAAGCCATCCAGTTTGGCAATTCCCTTCTACTATCATTTTATTCCATAGAAAAGAAGAAGCCAACTTTAACCCTTGAAGAAGAGCAAGCATTTATGATCTTTAAGAAAACTTGTCTCCCACAGGTCCAAAAAGACTAAGCAGTATGGTTCCTTCATGATTTCTGAACACATCTCCAATCCCTTACAGGATTGGGTTAACTAAGGAGTGTAAGAGCTGGCATGCATGAACAATCCTGTTGTTGTATCCCTGGCCTGGAGTCCTCTATATGAAGTTATTTTATTAACTATAGACAAGGATCAGAGTTTCAATACGATATGCCCCGTATCTGGCATATCATATCGTATCTTTTGGTTCCCAATACACCTGTTTACAGGTGTTTTCGGGAATCCATTTTTTAATATATATATATATATATATATATATATATATAGAACTTAAACTAAAAAAACTAAAAAAATAATAGGGGGAGTATTGTTCAAAGTACTGATACACAGACCTAATGGATCCTGCATAGAGCTAATGGCTGACATAAATGGGTATACACACACACATAAGTACATGAACAGTCAGACTGTTGCACCTCTAGGACTGGAGCTCATTAAAAGATTCTCTCTGTAGTCTGTACCCCTCTCCTATCAAGAGACTCGACAATATCATTACCTCATCTAGTCACCTATCTGAATGAGCTTTTCAGCCTAGCCAGCCTAAGGATCTTTTATTCCTTAATCTGATGTCTGAGAACAAGGATCATCAGTATTGTGGGTAATCATGCATTATCCACCTTATTTGATATTTCGATTTCCATAGAAGTATTCATCAATTTCAAAATATTAAACATCTAGTACGAACAATGTCAATGATAACTAAGTGAACAGGCATTGTTCCAGCTGTCCAGGGTCTTGGAGGTGATGCACTTAAAGCATCTAGGTCAACCAGTTCACTGGTTCTTGTGCTTTGGATTATAGTCAATGAACCTCATTCTCTATAAGTTAGGGATCCACAGCTATGGGATCATATTTCAAGTTTGAATGATGAAAAGCTAAGCAAACTGATGCTTGAAAAAAGGAAAAAAAAATTGGGCTCAAATGTAATTGTAATTATTACTAAAGTTAAAGGGGAGAGATAAGAGAGATTGTCTCTCTCTCTCTCTTTCTCTTGTATACTTTCTTTTAAATTCAATGAAGTAATCAGTTATTCATCAAAAAAAAAAGGAAAAAAAATTAAGAAAACCAATTAACATTTCCCAATAATTTTGTGAAAGATTGGAAGGACACCCCTAGGAATTTTTAAACTCCATTGGTAGTGCCTTAATCCACCAATAATGGGCTAATAATTTTGAAAATTGCTTGTGCATATCGAAGCTCTAGAAATGCTTCTGATCTTATAATGAAAGGATTAATAGGACTCATCTTTTATCCATTGGATGCCTTATAATAAGAGCCATAAGCCAGTTCATTGGTCTTTATTTCCTTGATAGATATCAATAACCTGAATGCTTTCTCTGTTTAACCTTACAGTGTTTAATTTGAATGTTTTGCAATACATTGGAAACATGCAATGACTTGCTTCATCTAACTATACATAAATGAATATGCTTTGCAGGTTGCAGAATTTCTTCGCTTCCGCTTGTGCATAAAGTCATGTTTGGAATACTTGGAAGCTGTTCCTTGGGATGGAGAAGAAGAGGAGAAAGTAGTTTCATCAGTCTTACGCCTCCGCAATGATAGTATCAGAGTCACCCCTGTATTGAAAAGGGTGTCTTTGGATATCTGCAACCACCCTAATGACACACTAGCACACATAATGGATCTAGTTCTCAAAAGCAATGAGGAGAGAGGTCGACGTGAGATGAAACCCTTAGTACTGAGGCTCCTCAGGGAGAATAACAACGTTCCCACTAATGGTGGTTTGGCTGACATTTGCAGTGAAAATATATACAATTCATGCCAAAGCTGCTTAAGTTCATTGTTGCATCTTTTCAGGCAAGCTGCAGAACCAGGATTTACTGATAAATCTATGGATGGGAAAGGTCCTGTAGTGAAGCAGATATCTCTGGAGGCTGATAATCTTCTCTGGTTGCTTGAAATTTTAGCTGATCGGCAAGCAGCTGATGAATTTGCATTGATCTGGGCCAGCCAGCAAGAGTTGGCAACCTTGCACTCAAGGCTGCCAGCTGTGTCTCGCCACCTTATTAGCTGCATTACAGCGAGGTTATTTGTGGGAATAGGAAAAGGGGAGATCCTTCCATCTAAGGATACTAGACTTCTCTTGTTACAGACATGGTTACAGCCATTGATTGATGACTACAGCTGGTTGCAACATGGTTGCAGGTCCTTTGACAGGAAGGTGGTGGAGGAAGGAATGGGGCGGACAATACTTACTCTCCCTCTGGAAAACCAGCAGAGTATTTTACTTTCGTGGTTGGGAAGTTTCTTGAAAGCAGGGGACAATTGTCCCAATCTTCAGAGGGCCTTTGAGGTATGGTGGAGGAGGACCTTCATCAGGCCATTTGTTGAAACACAGGGAAACCTAGACCAGTCAGAAAAATCAGAAAACTCAACGACATCAAATATGAATGTTTTATCATAAAAATCTGCAGGGATGATGGAGTTTCTGACATAAGTTCTAAGAAATCATCTCAAAGTATGAAGAGAGGACCGAATAAAGTCTTCGAAGATGGGAATAGAGAAAGTAAAGGATATTAAATTGTGGTTTGTAATTCTCTTACAGAAGAGATATTAACATGGAAAATGACACATCTGGAGGAGAACCAGATCTTCCTCTGGTTGTTTGCTTTGTTAACTTCTCCAGAGGACTAATATAGATAGGTGCTTATTGTGTAATTTCTTCTGGATTGGTGCTAAGAGTAGCTATTATATGCATCTTGATTTTGTGTTTTTTATTGAATCTGTGAATTCCTTACTGCAAATGCTTATATGTAAAGTCGAGTTTGCTCAGATGAATGCTGTATAAGGTTTTTTTTTTGGTATCTCACTTCCATGGCTACTACCTTTTGCAGTGTGAACATGAAATCTTTCCCCTGCCCCTCTTGAACATTTGAGGCATAATTCCGAGTAGCAAGTTAGAAACGTGGTCGTAAACATTTGTAATCACCATGAAGCACTGCACATTCCCCTTAATGACTGATTGGTTTCTCTTGTAAATAACTGATAAAACATGTATCAATCATTTATTTTTTATGGTATGATATTGGAAAAGTAGTAATTTAGGCTGGTTTATTTGGTTGTTTGATTCTTTGGATTTATCCCATACAACCAAAATTAGTTAGTTGGTCCATGGAGCACATGCATGGACAGGCTCGGAGTGCCACTTCAGAAATGCACCTCAGTGCTTTAGCAAACCAGTAAGAGTTGGTTTTTTGTTGAATACCGAAAGAAAAGAAAAAAGAGATGCTCTTTTGGCATAAGAAACTAGTCGACATGGACTTCTAAGTTCTAACATTAGTTTGACCATCCTAGCGTTGAAGGGTGGCGCAAAATGTTGGCACAATGAAGTTGGATAAAATAGAATAAATACCACCACTCTAACCGTCGTCTTCATCTGGATTCTTTTGAGTATCTCAAAAGAACCAAGGAAATGGAAGACGCACGAAATTCAACGAGAAAGGATAGGTTTGATCAGTTGTTCCTTCTTAGACGGTGACAATTGTAGGCTGTTGGCTGTTGCAACCTGGGACTTATTATTCTCTAGGCTCTGGAGGGTTCCTTCTTCCTCCAAGAAACCTCTTCTGCTCCATTATTACTAATGTCTGACGTTTGCTTTTCTGTTATGAGGATTCCTGATTCAGACAGATATTATTATTATTATTACAATTATAAAAAGAAAAAAAGAATGGAAGTATAACAGGGGGTTGATGTCATGGATAGGCAGTCAGAGATACTTTAAGATGGTTGTAAGTGAGACAATATCGATCAGAAAAGTCTGGGGGGGGGGAATAAAGAAGCTAATAGGGGATTGGGGAATGAGAGTGGGTGGCACTTTGTATCAAATATCAAGCTAGCAATCAAAGAAGCTAGATTATCAGCTAGAATTGGGGACTTACTTGGCCAGAACTAGCTGGCTGTCATGAAAAATGATGAACTCTCTCCATTAATTGATAGGTTGAATATCCAAGCACTTTCTGATCTGCGTACCAGAACAAATTAAGATGAAGTATCAATCAAATCTCATAAGATCAGCTATAGGATTGTCATTTTTTGTGCATCATGCAAATGATTATAATATATTCATATTGACTCAAATCAACATTGCCCCTTAATTTTGGTAATTACTACTGTTGTCTTCCTAGATAATCTGAGCAGACAAAGGAAGTGGAAGTGTGGAACCAATCAACCATTCTGGACACTGATCAGTGAGGGCAGGGATGCACGTGCAGGCCCAATGAAGTAGAAGCTGATCGAGTGAAGGAAGCGTAGACAATTGATGAATCAGGAAGGAGAGTCGGAAACAGACTCATAGCAGCAGGTTAGCCTTAATTAATTAGCTCACATCAAGGAAGGTCTACCCTTGCCTCTTGGAATTGTTGCAGAACCCGACCAACCTGTTAATATAATGATTGTATCTCTTAATTAAATTACACCATAAAGCATTGCTATCACGCAACCTCTTTAGCTACTTGTGTTTGGACCAAAGAATTCCAAACCCTTCAGCCTTCGCCAAAGGTTGATCCTGTTATTGTATATATTGTGACAATGATTTGAGTTCTAATCGGTTGTTTAATTGATGTAGTATGGCGCTGTAGCAGTCAATATGACCTACAAATTAAGGAATCCGCATGGTATTCCCATTCCTATATATGCTGCTCTGTTTTAGGCTATTAGCTTTGTCTTTTATTTTTCTCTTTCATCATTTGAGTTATGTTTTTGGTCGAATACATTAGGTTGGGACTTCAAATTTTATTAGTGATGGTTGATAAATGTCAATAGCAATTATCACTAAAAGTTGGTCTGGCCCGGTAGATGTTATAAAAGCAAGCTAGAATCTGGATAGAGCACTCAGCACTCTGTTCCATTCAAAGAATCACGTACCCACTTTTCCTTTTTAATGGCTTCGCTCCTAACTTTCCTCTCTTTCACATAAAAATTTTATTTTTCCTCAAGAAGTTGCGTGAGGAATTCCTACATTAAGATCACAGATTCTCATTTAATTATCCAGAATATCCAAATTCTACGCCACATCCTTTACCTTTAGGCCTGCAACTTGGTTCGGGTGTGGCACTGCGCTCCTTGTTTGGTTTAGGACAAATGCCAATCGCCAGCCTATTCCGGGCCCAGGAGAGAGGAGACATTTTCTAATATGTCCAGTGTCCAGTGTGTGTGTGTGTGAATGGTGACCATGTATTCATCTCGTGCACGTAATGTGGAGGCAAGGAATTTCCACTTTCCAGTGCAGTCACATATCCACATAACTTCCAAGAATCAGCAGAAGCCAGCCCTATATGTACAGCCATCTCACATTACAGTGTGGCTGGGGGATTCCAGCAAAGAAACTTGATGCAAGAACGATCTCCATGTGGTATGTTGATATGCAATAATAATTACGTTCTAATGGGCAAACGATGCTTAATTTAGTAATTCCTCATCTTTGAGGCTCCATTTTTTGCCACTCGATAACTTAGGGAATGTTGCCTACATACCCAGAAAAAAAATGAAGAAATAGGTAAATATGATTACCAGAATTAATGTTGAAGTAGAGGAAACTAATTAAGCATATATAGCCTTTAGTTAGGATGGCAACCAAGACTCCCTAGGACCCATTATTTGACATCTTATAACAGAAGATTTATGATTTTCAGTGTAGAGCTATAAACATTCAAAATGTCAAATATTCTCATTTTATGCATCAATGCCTAGCCCATGAATTAGCATCAATTTCAAGCTGACATCTATCTTAAATGTACTTTAGGCCTAAAAATTCTGACCCTAGGTTGAACCGTCATTCAACATCATGTAACCACTATCGCAGGACAAATCTTAGACCCCAGTTATTAAAATATTGCCATTTGATTAAATACTGCCTTTACTTTTGTGAAAAAGACAAAATATCACATCAAGGGGAGTGGGTGTTTGATTAAAACACTGGGTGTTTTATTCTCTAATACACCTCCTCACGTGGGCTTGAAGTATGGACAACAATCATAAGGCCGCTCATACTTTGTACTGAAATTTAATTAATTAAACCCATCCCCATCGGGGATCAGGGATGGGGTTAATTTTAGAATCGGGGTCAGGGACGGGGAATATGATCCCTTGTTGCCATTCCTATACACCTTATAATTTTACATATTTACTTAAACCTACCTTATAGTTTTTATTTTACTAAAGCATCCCTTATATTTTACAACTTATTTACTTAATCAACCTTTCATTAAGGAGTGTTTGTTTTTCCATTAGGCATGTGATTTTTTATTCCAAAAATACCCTTAATACTTTTTTGTATAAAAAATAAAATTGACCAAATATAGCTAATAGAATAGTTGCCCATGTCTTATTAAGGGCAAAAGTGGTATTGTTATTTTTATTTTCTTTTGATTAAATTTATTTAAATGAACAGGGTAAAATACTAACTATAGGGTAGATTTTAGTAAATCCATAAAACTATAAGGGGTATTTTATTATATGACCATTTCTATTATTTAGCTTTCTCTTAATAAATCCCGTGCATCACAAGGATCCCCACTAGTTTAATTAATTATAATGGGTCAATGAGGATTGAACACTAAATCACTTGATAAAATATGCTTTATTACCATCTTAAGGAACGTTCGACCAAAAAACTTAAGTTGTTAGGTGAAGTATTCTTTAACACTAATTGGGGACTCTTTTTACACATTGGATACACCCCAAAATCCACGGGTTATAGCCAAAATTCAACAACCATCACTGTGCTATTACATGTATGAATATCAAGCCCAGAAGCATGGACACATTAACTAAGTAGCACCACAGGATAATACATGAATATATAATTTGCATTAGAAATGGCCATCATATAATGCTGTGTTTGGTTGCAATGCAAATTTATTTGCAGTGATGCAAAATTATGGTAGTGCAAATGATACAGATGCAAATTTTAATCTATTTTTGTTTCAAATTTTATTTTATTTTAATTGATTGCAGTACAAATTAAGTAAAATTAGACCAGAAGTAGAATAAAGTAAAGCCCAAAACAAAATTAAACCAGAATTAATATTCTTCTCATTTGCACACCCATATATTTTGTACTAGTGCAAATGAAATTGCACTGCAAATCCGCAACCAAACGCAGCATAAAGTACAGTTGTTCAGCTGTTTTACTCTGAGAAGAGATGAGCAGAAGAAGTTCTTTATTCATTTGTAATATTTTAACCTATTTTCAGATATGCCGAAAGGCCCGAAACCTCTTTCCTTGTATATTTTTCACATAAATGCAACCACTTAACAAGGAAGCTACAGACGAAGTCATGGTTACAAGTTTACAATCACAACTTTTCATCGAAAAAATTAATAAATGACAAAGTAATTTTGTTGCTTTTTCTATAATCGCTGTAGCAATAGCAATACCGATGCTTACTGTTAGAGAATATCAACTTATTCAGACCTCATCTAATAGCTTAATCTTTTAGATTGAATGGTTTTTTGAGATGGTATTAGAGTTATTTTGACTAAGTAGTTTAGTGTTCAATCCTCCATACCCCCATTATAATTAAATAAGTTTTAGCACAAAATACGGGTAGGGATGCAAACGGATCGAATCGGGGTGGATCCGAATCAATAAAAAAATCAAATGATTTGAATTCGAATTTGGACCATTTCATCGGATCAACAATTTAACACATTTCTAAGCATAAATTTAACCTGTAAAGTTTCACCAATTTAACTTACACTTAACACAAATTTAACTTGTAAAATTTCAGCAATTTAACCTCTTAATTATCAACAATTTAACATTGACTTCTAACACATTAACCTGTGAATTATCAGCAATTTAACCTGTAATACTTAGCAATTTAAGATAAACTTTTAGCACAAATTTAACCTGTAAATTTTCTGAAATTTAACCTATAATTTATCAACAAATTTAGCATTTAATTCTAGCAGAAATCAAACATAAACTATTAAGTTCATCAAGTGTTTAAGTTCAACCACATCATCCTTAAGTCTGAAACTAAATAAAAGTTAAAAGTCAAATTTTCAAAAGTTCCAAATGATCAACACTAAACTTCAAGAGTTTAAGTTCAAAGTTCAAGTCCTTGAGATTAAGGATTATTCCAAAAAGTTGCTGCATCCACCAAGTTAAACTTCCAATCAGCAATGAGGCAATGATCACCCATCTCCTACAACAAATAAAGGAAACTATTGGATTAGAATTCAAATAAAAGTAGAACTAAAAATAAGTTAATAATGGGTAAAACTAATCTTACCAAATCAGATTGTTCCAACTCCAAATTCACATAAACTTTAATTTCATCATCTATTTCTGCTACATCAACATCTAAAACATATGATATGAACAAAAAAAAAAAACCAATAATTAGAGCTTGCTATAGCAACATCTAAAACATATGATCTAAAACATTTAAATGAATTTACCTGCTACAGCAAAAGGTTCTAACCAACTTTGCCCACGCATTAGAGCCTCTACAATTTTCGGCCTTATCCGTGTGAGATATTTATGAATGACTCTGCTTTAAGTACTAAAAGCTGCATCTACAACTTATGAATGACTCTGGCACAAGTTTATATTAACAAGAAAAAAAATAACATATTTTGATATTCAATTTACCATTAAAAAAATCAAACAAACATATGATTAGTCACTAATCATCTAACATATTCAGTTTAATAAGAAAAAAATACCAAATATTATATTCAGTTTAATATTCAGACTAACCTATTCTGATATTCAATTTAATATTAAGAAAAAAATTATCATACAAAAATTGGATTAAAGTAGATTTAAAATTATAATAAACATGTATAACAAAAAATGAAAAATCAGATTGGGCATTCCATAACAAAATAAAAATCATACAGAAATCAGGTTGGGTATTCCATATTCAAATAAAAAACTAATAATATGTATAACAAAATAAAAATATAAAATGATAAGTGATAAACTGATAATAGGCTAATAGCTAACAAAAGAGAATGAGATTTGAAATTTCAGATCTCATACTCATGTCTGTCTCACTGTATGCACACAACATATTCAATTAATAAATTTAATATTCATAAACACAAAAAAAAAAAACAAATACACTCATACAAAAACCTAAATGGCTAAACAAAATTTGACTTGAACAAACCTAACCGGCTAAACCTATTCCATATGATAAAACTCATAGAAAAGGGACTGGAAAAAAAAAATAGAAGATGGGGGGAAGAAAGATAGTCGACGATGATGTTGAGTTGTGAATAGTTGAATGCAAGGCGACCGATGACTAGCAATAGACAAGATTGAACCAAACGGGTGAACGACAAGTTGGCAAGTCGCAACCTACAACCGGTCACTGGCAATGGCAGTAAGCAGCAACACAGTGGCATGCGGCGGCTAGGGTTCTTTACCTTTTCTCACTTTCACTCTTTCAGATTCAAGTTGTTTAGAAGTTAGAAGAGAAGAAGAGTCTAGGGTATTCAGACACCACTTTTTAGTTTTTACTTTTGTTAGATAGGACCTCATTTTTAAATTTACAATTTTAGACCTATGTAATTAATTAAATTACATCATATTAATTTAAAACAAAATATTAAAATGGGGTATAAATGTCATTTTATAATAATTATAAAAAATAATATTATATATGTGTGTGTGAAGGGTCAGATCTTTTTAGATCGAATCAGGGGTGATTCGAATTCGATCTGAATTCCAAATAGATCCAATTTCACCATCCAATCCGATTTGAAATTCCGAAGAGGGGGTATCTGAATCCACTAATTTCGGATTGGATTCCAAATTGGATCGGATCAAAATCCAATCCATTTGCACCCCTAGGTATGGGTGACCTTGTGCTTGTTCACACTTCAAGCCCAATGGGCTTTCATGTGAGGGGGCGTGTTAGAGAATATCAACCTATTCAAGGACCTCACCTAACAGCTTAAGCTTTTAGGTTAAATGATTCTTTGAGACTTACTAGCAAAGATCATCTACTGCAAGAGGATGAAAGAGGCCAGATAATTCAAGGGTTACAGTGAGTGAACACTTGCATTCAAGCCAGCCTACAAATATAATATTGGGAGTTGCAGCTACGAAATAAGCTACAAATTACTTCTAGATTTTTATATAATTCTAACATGATTTATGTTAAGATTGATCTGTTTTATTGTAATCTTCATTCATAAGGAACGAATACCATCATGGATTGATAAAGTATTGTACAAAATAGAGGAGGTTGGCATTAACATTGTTGCAATTTTGTACTGTCATGAATCACTAGACTACATTCGTAGTTCTGATCATAAACCAGTGAAAGCTCATCTCTTCTTGAAGGTCAAAAACTTGGAATCGTTGCCTCCTCATAAATCAGTACTCTAAGTACTAAACTGTTGTGTATGCAACCCTTTTCTTTTGTATGCTTCATCTAACCATATTCAACTAGTACACTGCTGGAACCTGAGCCATCTCAATATTTTCTGTGAATTAATAGTCACAGATCTGTGCAATCCAGCTCTCCTTGGTTAGGCCGTCATGTCTTTCTTTCCTGTAGCTGTAGATAGTTTCTGTGAACTGTCATAAATGATCATTAAGGCTATGTTTGGTTTGAAGGAAAAGGTAGGGAAACTTATACAAGGTTTGTAAAGGTTTCCCTACCTTTCCCTATTTTTTTCCTTCAAACCAAGCACAGTCTAAGTAGAAATCAAACGATTGCTATATTTCTTAAGTTTGCTTTTGATTTACTCATGAAGGGCCCAAGGTTTCAAAACACCAAAATTAACAGAGAAGCCTTGCTGTTATGCACCTTTCTAATCATACTAGTGAATTAATTCCTGTCTTTATTCTATTTGTGGCCACTATTTATGCTTAATATGACATTCACCAACCATCACCCTTGACATTAATTAATTATAATGGCAACAGTGCATGAGTATTTAACAAGTTTAAACCACCTAGACTTGGGAGGATGGATGGTCTGGCCATCAATGGAGAAATGCCAAACAAGTAGGAACACGGGATGGACATTCCAATTCAAGATTGGACATCTTAGCTAGCCGAAACCAGCAGACAACTGACCTTTACCAAATCTTGTACCTACGTACTACACAGATGGATTTCTGAAATATTTCCTTCCGACATACCGGAGATTTACAGATGCATGAACTTCACATCTGCCTCAGGGTCCCCTCAAAAGTAGAGAGTTATTGTCACACAACTGCAACCATTGTATAGCTCAAGACTACTTCTTTGGACTGACTACCAAATTAGTATCTTCCAGCGTACTGAGATCCATTCAAGCCGTTCTTGAGGAGCATAGAGGGTCCCATTCCCACCTTGCTGTGTAACTCTATTCGTGTGGCAGATTCTCGATGAAGCATATGAAACTTCATTAGAGGATAAAGAAATGGAGAAAGAGAGTGATAAGGGGGGAGGGAGAGGAAAAGAAAAATAACAGAGAAAGCTCTTTATTCGTTCCATTTAATATGACATAAGAAAGGTTCCAAGTCTCAAATAATACCTTAGTCATATACTATCTGATCGATGATTTCTTGGTCTTTGTGTGAGGTAGGACTTGAGGGGGCAGGGTCATGATAGACAAATATGGTTGATATATAGTAGAAGCCACTCAAAGAACTCAGCCAAGCTGTGGAAAATGTGATTTTAAGTATGGGTTTTAATAATACTCTCAACCTTCAATGCCAGTGAATCTCAATATATATGAAACTATTTCTGGGCCTAGCACTGAGCGGTTTAATTGCTTTCACATACAAATGACACAACATTGTTTACATTCTTCTCACTCCATCTATATATGACTATGCTTATCTGTGATGTAAAGATGGTAAATTGAAGTAGAAAACAAGAATATCTCATTCCTCTAAGTTGTTTGGTACAATTTATGCATGATTTTGTTCATCTTTTAATTAAAGCATGTCATAAAAACCTAGCTTTTTTTTTTTTTTTTTTTTTTATAAACTAGAAGAGTGCTACACAAGATGGTGGTTTATAGCTTGACGAGTGTGAATACTTTTCTTCAGATCCATTCATGCCTGAAAAGCTAAAACACCGAATTGACAAGAGAAGCCCCAAGAGCGAGCCAGTTGGGTTTTTTCGCAGCTATATATTCTTCGTCCAGCATTGATGATTGATGTTTGATGGGTAAAAAACGAGAGGAGAGATGCTATAATTCCAACAACTTTTTAATTATTCATAGCAAGAATTATATAGGCCTCATAGAACAGAAGTTCCAGTCAGTGTATAGTGTCTGAAACCTAATGAGACAACCTGTGTTATATAGTCCGTCTGTCATCCCGATCGGAAGGAAGATTCCGTCCTTATTCACAAGTCATAACCATCAACCCAACATTATTATCGTGTCTTTGCGTGTTTTGATTTTTGAAACCTCACTTCACTGTCTAAGAACATCAAACAAACACCAATTAAGTCGCTTCAGTTTTTCTAGCAAGCGTCCAACTCTTCATTTTCTATTCTTTCTCCACAATTCAACCGAAAAGGATAATTCACTACTATTTCAGGTGACGGACGACAAACGCTATACCAAACTAAAATAGTAAAATTAAATGAAGTGTTAAGGCAACAGTTTTAACCTTTCAAACGGACGAAAAAACAAAAAAACAAAACCAGAAGACACAGATCGACCACAGTTCGATCAGGTCCCCAGTCTCCACTCAGACCTATACCTAATGCCCATGGGGCCTCTAAGCAATAAGCCTAGAAAATCTGGCCTATTGATGACCGTTAAGCCTTAAAACCAATAAGACCCACTGACTTTCGTTTTTCTTGTTTTTTAATGGATAAAGATGATCCACATCCAACACCAACTTTGGGATGCGAAAGGATGTAATCCATTCCTTCCCAATCAAAGCAATCATGCATCAAACGTAATTGGGATTGTCAAATCTGAAGGATAAATCAATCGAGCTGTGTAGCAGACTAGCAGCTGCACAGTTGAAATAAAAAGCGAGAGGTGGTTCTGTAAAAGCAAAAACAAAATAAAGTTCCCGAAAGCATCTTTTCAACGGAAAAGTGAGTGGATGTGCAGTTGCAAGTTGCACCCAGTGCACTCTCCGGTTTGACGCAAAGTTGAACAGACAGCAATGCGCAAACCTAAAGGTTGCAGCTTTACATCACATCGCCAATCACGTCGTTTGGTACAACTTGCAATTCAGTCTCACTTATTGGTATGGTATGGTACCGATAACTATCATCTATCCCTAGGATATGTAGCACTTTGGAGATTGATTCATTGGATGCATCCCTCCCTTTTGATATTACCTATTACCATATGATATGGATGTCAATTTCTTTGTCAAGGCCTTTCATTCATAATTAGCTTCCTTGTCCAGGTGTCAAATTGGTTTGGAGTGGAATCTTCAAGCTCTATTACTTCTCAACCTCTTGTCATCCAAGTAATCTTGGTTCTGCAAATTCAATGGTTCCCCTACCTGATGGACGGTCCGGATCCCACAGTAGTTCATATCGACTACATGTCCCACTCCCACCCACCCCCAAGCAGCTTGTACTTTTAACTTTTAATTAATTAAAAACAAGATTTACTTATAAAAGTGGACTTAACCCCACCACATGTGAAAAATTGGATTCAGGCACAGTTTGTATTTGTATATATAGTGCCAGTTGAGCCCAAGCCCAGCCAGATTCTGATCACCCCTAATCTACTAATTTACAATATACCAGATAGTGTTTTAATCTCGTCTTCATTTAACTAATAATGTTTGATCAATGAATGTTGCTGATCCCCTCCTATAGTCCTATTGTACCATTCAATCTACCTACAAACCGAAATTAAGAATAAAAATTTTTTCAAGGTAAGAGCAACTAACTGTACATGGTCAATACAGGTATTTTAGTTGTAACAGTTAGCATGGAGTGCATCACAAGCAACTGGAATACAAGAAGGTGAATGTACCGATTGATGCAGTAAATGGGCCCAAATCTGTAACATGCACGGGCAACAATTCCAAGGCAACACAATGGTTGGTTTGGGAAATGTTGGAGAAAAAGGTAGCACAATGGGCTTGGTTGGACATGGCATAGGGTGGGGTGGCCTTTCTCATGCGTTTGCAGGTCTGCAGTTTGTTGCACATAGCAAATAATTGGGCCCTCTCGTATGATCCCATAAAACCCCAGGGCCAATTGGGCCTCTCCAAACCCCATGATGAACCTTTAGCTAATATTAGACTGCTTGGGGGTGGCTGACTGGCTTCTGTCTGCTGTACCTATAGTGTGACAGCCATGCCTATGTAGTTATGTACGATGGTCAAAAGAAAAAGTCAAATTGGTCATTGGATCACGGATTGGGACTCTGCAAGAGTAGCTCATGGGCTTATCATCAGGGGTTCATCGCCATCGGGCCTCAAATTTATTGCTTTTCTCATATGCACACCAACTGTTTGGGAATAGGACCCGCATGAGTGAACGTAGGAGGATGATTCCAAAAATCCACAGTTCAGGTTCACGAAATCACTGTGTATATATATATATATATTATGATTTCTAAAACCAGTGCATAAAAGAGGATGGCAAATATCATCTCTTGGGCAAAGCTTTTATTTTTGGTAAAGAAGATCTCTCCGGCCGTGTTTAACGTAGACCGCACTGGGTACAATGCAGAGGAGGTAAAGCATTGTTTGTTTGTTGTCTGTTTCTTCTCGTCGGTAGTGTGTTGTTGTTGTGAGCAAGAGACAAAGAAGCAGATTTGGATTTGAGAAGCCTCAAACCCATTCTTCCCTATTAAGTAACGTAACCAGTAACCTAAGACTAGAGCACCTCTCCCTCTCCATTCTCCAACTTGTCTAATGCTCATAAACGCAACTACCCAACTGCCGAATGGACACCACATTTTAGGTTATGGGTTCGACCTGAAATTGACCGCTCCAAGAATCACATTTAAGTACATTAAATATGGGGGGACAAAAAATAGTTTTAAGACTAGAGAATTGTTAGAATTTGGGAACCTCACTCTCTCTCTCTCTCTAATACACGCACACATTTTAATGTCCTTTGAGTAATGTTCTTCCACTGCACTATTAAATAGCCTTCTTTACCACTAGGTCATTCTTCTCTTTTTGGCCATTTGTTCGAGGTTCAATGGTGTATATTACCTCTGATAGAGGTGCAGGGTTCGGTATCAAACAAAAAAGAAGAGTAAACTCAATTGTCCTAATTTTGCTATTAAGGCTTGATCTTTTATACTAAAATCTTCACCAAAGAAAATGGCCCGACACCTGCCTATTTCTTTATTCTTTAAAAATAAAAAAAAAGAGAGTCCATACCAACACAAACTAAAGCATCTTATTTATGCATTAAATTGAAAACTTCAATTCAAATAGCTTAAATAGAACTGTTTTGTACAAAATAAGAAAGGACATACTTGGGTAAAGAATTTAAGTTGGTCCAATTATTTGTTTGAGTTTAAGTAGAACTTTATACCGTGGTCCAATTATTTGCTTGAAAGTAACATACTTGGTTGGGTAAAGAATTTAAGCTGATTTTGGCCCTTCTATTCTTCGAAGTGGGATCTATTAAATGCTGTTCAATATCTTCCTAGCATAGTGATGGCAATTTATGGATCCCTGGATCTCAGACCCAATCTTCTGGTATTGATTGTATAGACTATGGATCAGCAATATGATATACATAACATTGATCTCCAAAACCTTTATTTATTTTCATCCTTTAGGAATAGAACATTGAACACATATTTCCCTGTTGATGTTGCTCCTAGATTGTAATCATGTTTCAAAAAAATCCTCCCTCAGGTAAGACCAAATTATATATCACATTTAGTCTAGTATTTATATACTGATTTTTTTTTTCTTTATAAACCAATCCTGACAAGTAGGACTATTTCTTCCATTCAGATAATGTGTCCCTTTTTTGGTAGGTGACATTTACTTCTTTTTATTTTTTATTTTTAATTTAAGCAACAAATTAGGTAAACATAGTGGGCACCTTTGTCAATGTTGTTTTAGACTTTAAGAATCTGTATCGAGCTCGGTTCCCTTCTAGTCCAGTCCGTAATAAGAAAACCGAGAGATGAAATATTGGAATATGGTGAATAATAGTGTTTTGTTTGCACCAATCAACCATTAATAAAACTGATGAGCTAATTAAAAATCTTATTGCATTATCATAAAATTTCCTTCTAATTACAAATTCGTTTAGGCTGTGTGTAATTGGTTTGAAGGAAAAGGTAGGGAAAGGAAGGCGGCCTTGTATAGGTTTCCCTACCTTCCCCATTCTTTTCCCTAACTTTTCCTTCAAACCAAATACAGCCTAAATGAACCCCTAGATAGGACTTACTGAACATAGTTTTTGTTTAACCAGGCCAGACACTTCTGGTTGTGCAGTATTTTTATGAAAACATAGCATCTTCCACCCAAGAGAAGTTTTGTAAACACAGTAGAAGCCTAATGATGATCAAAAAGTTAGATCTACATAGCTGTATGTTTATTATGGTTTCTCTTGCTATCTGAATTGTATTGTATATGAAGGGATAACAATTTAATTACTAGATTAGAAAGTATCTCTCCTTTCATAAACCAAATAAACCATAAGTGCACATAACTCATATTCATCATGTTATTGTTCCCCTTTCTTCCTTCTTAAATATTATGTTCTCTAACAAGGTAGAGAGATATTAAGGTACAAAACCTTAAATTTACAAAAGAAAGAAAATGGTGCAAAACAATCTACTATACAATTAACAGTAATCTTGGAGAGCTAGCTAAAATAATGCTACGTTTCTCATTCGTTTATATTTCCAACAGGAAAAATTAGATCAATAGAGAGAGATAGAGAGAGTGAGAGGGAGAGAGAGTTTTTCTTTCTGGGAGATGATTAGATGGGGTGGGAAGTGGGGATCCTCGAAATTCAACATCCCCCAAAGTCTCTGACAGAAAATCGGCTCTTCTCCGGCAGGTTTCCGGCGTGTTGAAGCCCTAGCGTGAGGGATACATCGCCGGTGGTGGTCCCAAATCTTACAAGTGTGGCCCCTAGATTGGAGTTGGCAGTGGTGGTCCCATAATCCGTAGCAACCACGCTCCCATGGTGCCGACGCGTGTCATCAACCGCCACCCGATGATGAATGTCTGGTTCATGGGTCGCCTGAAAACGTTGGGGTACGAGGGATGACATGTCACTGTGTGAGGTGATGGTGGTGGTCATTGTTTGGGTGGCTTGGCTTGCTTGGTTTTCCGAGAAGCGTTGTCTATTGATTGCGTTGAACGAGGGGTCATTGTCGTTGGCATTGATTTCGGATCTTTTGCCTGCTGTTGTTGTTGTTGGGGATGATGTTGTTGTTGCTGTTGGAGGTGGTGTTGCAGCTGTTACTCCTGCTGCTGCTGCAGTTACTGGTGTTGTAGACGTTGGTGTCTGTGCAGAGCCGCTGCTTTGGCCCGCTTGATTTTTCTCTCTCTCCTCTTTTTCTTCTTTGGTCTCTTGTTGGTACATCTCTTCCACCATGGGTTTCCACAACCGAACCCTGGCATTAATGAACCAGTTTGAAACCTGAAACAACGAAAGCAAACGTCGTTAGAAAAAATTACATGGTCTGCATGGATATCGAAAAAATTCAACAGAGAAGAAAAGAACATATCTACACTAGTTGTCTTTCCTTTGATTGATTAATTCAATGCACATTGGTTGATGCTTCCGTTCAGTTAGCATCAAAGCATGTTCATATAACAAGGAAATACTGTACGCCTCGTTATTGTTGCTGCTGTTATTAACAACAGCAGTGGCAGTAGTAGAATAGAAAGAGATCCTGTTTATTTATTTCATACATGCATGAGAGGAGAATGGCAATTAACATTTAACAAGATAGAAACAAAAATGATAGAAGACTATTTAAGAAGAACAACAGATATACAAATCCTTTTTCCCGGTGGTATTTTCTAACTTTCCTCTCTCCATTTCATTTCTCTCTCCTAATCACACTACTATCCCAAATATTTAATACAAAAGAGAGAAATTTGGGTGTATCTGTTTCGTTTTCTTCTTCTACTCCTGGAGTTAAGTTGAGCTGTTAGAGCTCGGACAAATACAAAAACGAAAGAATTCAGAAGATTAGATACTTCGATTTTCCCACAGTTTTCTTTGTTAATGAAGAACGGAGAGAGATGGGGAGGCGGGGGGGGGGGGGACTGGATCCCGGAAGAGAAGATCAAGTACAGTTATCATTAATGCAATTACTGTTTTATGGTTTGTTAACGTGGTGTTTAAGCTGTAACAAAACTGAAAAGCATATTTGAAAAATAAATAGATTCAAAGCTGACAAGTCTCATGTCACGTTTCTTCCGTACTTGTCTCTGTAATTGTAGTAGTCTTATTTTTCAGTTCGGATCAGGTAGGCACAACGTTGAAAGCACGGTAAATGAGTACTTTTTTCACCCTCACTATTTCTATCACGAAAGAAGGAAGATAAAAGAAGGAAAAGGTTTCAACTTTTCCTAACGAAAAGAAAAGGCAGGTGAGAAATGAAAGCCGGAACCATGCAAATGTTACTAAACTTACTGCTGATGTTCTAGGGTTTCTATTCTCTTGTGGTCTTGTGGGTTTTGGAGTAGAAACCTAAAAAAAAGATGGACACTCTTTATTTCTCTTTTCTTTTGTTTTATGGGGGATCGGAGAGAGCATAGGACGAACCTGATTTCTCGATAAACCAGTCTGTCGCGCCAACAAATGCTTATCTGCATCACTCGGGTACCTGGAAAAAAAAAAGAAGAAGAGACCAGAAAATGACATCAGGGTCCCTACCCAAATCGTATAAAGAGACCTCGAGCTTTATGTACCGGTAAATGAGATCGAACGATTCTTTCCCTGTTAAGGCGTGAAAATCTAAGACAAGAAAAACAGTGCAAACAGCAACAGAAGCAAAGAAACAACTGCACACACAGATCTCTCCTTAAATATCCTATTGATTGAAAACATAATATGTGTGTCTGAGAGAGAGAGAGAGAGAGGTCTATAAATTTTTATTATTTTTCTCGTTTACTTTCAATTTAATCTGATAACTAACTCTAGGCAGGTCAGAACTTAGAAGCCTCTCTCCAAATAAAGAGCACAGCAAGAAGCTTTCCTTCAGCTTTTTGTTGTGGAGACAAGACTCAAGGACACTGCATTACTGTTGTCTTAAAACACTAAAACAGAAACGGGTGATAAGATATTCTAGATTGACATTTCTAATACCCCAATAAAGTATGGAGAGAGAAAGGGAGAGGCAGGGATTATATTAATAAAACAATGGCTTTAATTTGTCTTTTCTCTCTCAAGTCTCAACTTTGTTGGTTTGAGTGATGTTAAGATGTATAAGGGAGGAGAGAAAGCGAACGTACGGATGAAGGAAATGCTCAAAAAGCCAAGCTCTCAAAATGTTGACCGATCGCTCAGGCAAGCCCCTCTGAGGCCTCCAAGCTTCTTGCTCCATCATACCCATCTGGTGGAAGGCTCTTTGCTGTCTGAGGCTTTGTTCAAGCAACCGAAGCCTTGGCGTCTCCCCTTTCGTTACACCGGAGGCTCCCACACCATCCTTCTCTCCCAGAACCTCACACGTATGCTTCAATTGTGCCGCTATTGCATCCTTTAAGCATCGGAAGTGTCTTGACATCGCTTTCTGGGCAAGCGCTGTATAGGGAGTTGCCGCTCCAAAACCCATGACTGAGTCAAAGGAATTTACTACCATATGCATTTGCTCGCAGTAATGATTGTATCTTCGATCAACCTGAGATACACAAAAAAGGAATTAGAAGAAACATCTACCCCAATTCATCAAACATTTATACTTGCATGAAGACTGCCAAAAGAAAATGTAATACTAAGCTAGAAAGTTATAACAATTCTGCTGTTTTCAGTGTTCAACGTTAAATGATGAGGGTTGAACAGCAGAACAGCAGAACAGCAGAACAGCAGTAAGAGAAGAGATTCACCTGAAGCCTTACACAGGACGCGCTTTAAAGTTTAGAAAGAAAATGCAGTTACCATCGCTAATTTCCATAAAGTTAACAAGAAATATTACCTTACTCTTACTGTTTATTAGAAGAAGATCGAGGAGGGGGAGGAAGGTATATATATATATTCCCAAAGACATGCTTTAGATTTAGAACTTTCTATCTCGAAGATTGAAAGAAAATTTCGATCATGAAGGTGAATAGGAGAAGGAAAGAGGGGAAGAGGAGAGGAGTGCTTCTCTTTAAAAAGTCAAATTTCAAAATCCGGAAACGGCCACGAACAGCTTGGCTGCTATTTTAATGCAAAAACCAAATAGACTCAATGAGTAGATGAATCAAAACATGATACAGTGAAATGATTGTCGTGCGAACTGCGAAGCAAAAGAACATCCGCGTAATTCCACACCAGGCGGGTGTAGAGTGAATAAAATAAAGAAAGCGAGAAAAATATCACTTAAGGTCAACTGCGATAGAAATCAATGGTTTTGCGTGCAGTGTTACTATAATGGTTTATGGATCTCTCTCGGTGCCAGCAGCCTTCCTAACTAGTAACTACTTCCTACGTATTGTAGGGATTATAGGCGATCATCCACATTAAGAGCGGGCGTCCTTTCTTATTGGACGCATACCCCTTAATAGTTAACCTCTCATCTCCTCTACCATACAAAAATCCGAAGTACAAAAACACCCAACCCATCAATCAAATTCTTGATCAGTAAAGTCGAATACAATATGCAAAACTCAACCTCTATCATCTTATTTTATGGAGAGATGGAGGCCCAATTCAAATTTCAACTGCTGGCTTCTCTTTTATCTGTAATAATTAATTAAAAACTCTCAAGACACTTGCCGGAATTTCTGTTTCCTCCGATGGGTTCTAAAAAATTAACTCCACTACGGCGAATGATAAAAAGACGGGCCTTTTTTGTGAGGTTTGTGCCTAGCTACGTGTGTGTGTTTGAGAGAGAGAGAGAGAGAGAGAGAGAGAGAGAGAGAGAGAGGTTACATGCCTCATCAAGCATGGACATTAGCTTGACTTTCCTCCTCTGATGCTCAATCCTTTCAGTAGCTGGTAAAGGAGGTAGGTCCTTGGAAGATGATGGAGACCCACCAGCACTAGTACCCTGATTAGGGTTAGGGTTGGTGCTCTGATGCTTGCCAAGCCTGTTATTCTTTAATTGTCCCCTCCCGACACTGCAAAACTCTTCCAACAATTCTTGCGCAGCTTTGACATACTTAGAATGCCTCAAGACATTGACGACCCCTAAGGACGATCCGAAACCAACATGGACCTGATGGTTCTGTCCCACTCCTTGCAAATGCAATGGTTGGTTATGATTCCCCAGATTATTCTTCAATGGGTACGAAGTGGCCGAAGAAACACCACCTCCGGGATTGTAATAGAACACCCCACCATCTCCCATTCTCAATTCCTCCGCCTTGGCCGCTTCCAAGTGCTGCAACGATGACGACAACGATAACGAAAGCCCTTGGCTCTCCACACCCCCACCAAATTTGCTTGTGTTACTGAGATGAGTAGCCGTGTTTTCACCTCCGCCGCCACCTGGGACCCAAGTGAATTGTGCTGGATGAATTGAGTTACTACCAAAGCCCACTCCGGCTGCAGCCGCAGCTCCGGCCGACTGAAATCCCTGTAGATGAGTAGTAGTGGATGGATTGGGAAGCAACATATGGATGGGGGTAGACGACGACGAAGGTGGTTGAGGAGGTGGAGAAGGTGACCTTGTTTGTGGGTTCATAAGGAAAAGCTGCATGGCAGCTGCCGAGTCCGCATTTAGGCTTGAAATCTGATGATGCTGAGCTATACTGTGACTGTCACGGTTATTGCTGTTTGGGTGCTTTGCATCCCCCAAAGGACCTAACCCGCCCACCATCCCTTGTCTGCTCCCATACCACTCATTTGCTGCTGGTGTTGCCGCCGTAGGCGGTGGTCGCGGTAGTCGATAATTCGACGCGATCTGATTCTCTAAGAGGTCGGCAGCCACGGGGACGCCTGGCTGGAAATTGAACATCTCCGATAACATCCCACCCGTTTCATAACCCGGCAACTCCCCAGATTCTTCTGCTTCTATTCCCACCAAAGGTGGAGGCGCCTCGAACCCTTGCACCCTAAGTTTGTCCCTCCGGCTTTGCTGTGCGATGTGCTGCGCCTGCTGTTGCTCTTGGTGTGTTGTAGTCGATCTGTCAAAACCATTGGAGAAACTGAAGATCCCTTGATGGAAGCTTTGGGACATAGAATTTAAAGAATTAGGCCTATCGGAGGCCGATGCAGTCTTGGAGAGTTGAATTGGGAGGCGATTCTTGGAGTGAGACAAGAGAGGAGGAGGTGGTGGTGTTGCTACTCCCATATCAGTATCTTCTTCTTCATCATCATCTCTTTCTTCTTCGCCCCCAGTACCGCTTTATCCTGTTGCCGCTTCTGCTCATGTTAGCACAGATCGATTAGAATTATCAAGTAGATAAAAGCTCAAGAAAGAGAAGCATGCTATGAGACGAAAATTCAGCATTAACAATCATAGAAAAGAGTAATAGGAAGAAAGAAGAGAGAGAGAGAGAGAGAGAGAAAGAGAGAGAAAAAAAAAGGAGTTTCTTTGAACTCGCTTTTTATTTTTAATTAAATTCTATTTTTTTCTTTATTCATCAACTTTACCTCTTAGAGTTGCAGGAATTGAAAGGGTGCAAAGCTCTCAGACATCGTTTTCCTTCTGTGGGATTGAAAGCTTCTTGAACTCTGCTATCTCTCTGCTGTCCCTCTGTCTGTCTTTCTCTCTCTTTCTTTCTTTCTCTTTCTCTCCTTTTCTTTCTCTTTGTTGCTTGCTCTTTGCAGTGAGTGTTTTACAATCGCCTTCTGAAAAGAAAAAGAAAGAATCACAAAAATAAAAATAATAATAATAATGAAATAAATGCGGAGCTGGGACTGATCTCTTTCTCAGACAACGCAACCAGGAGAGAGAAGAGAAGAGAAGAGAAGATAAAAGGTCGCTATTCTTTCGTCTTTCACCTCTTCATCAGTCATCACACACTCAAATTTTAATATGTATTTCACGACATGTCTATAAAAAAACAATAATAGAAAATAAATAAGTAAATGAAAAAAGAAGTAGTAGAAGAAGAAGAAACAAATAAACAAAGACCTTGGCTTTCTCTAAAAGCGACAGAAATATAATGAAAGTGGTAAATGACTGAAATTACACCACCTAAATTTCAATAAGTAGAGGGTATTTCAGTCAAATGCAATTTTAATTCATTTCATTTCATTTCATGGGCTCTTTAGTTTTACCAAATTACCATGTGTCACCATCTTGAATTTATTTATTTATAGGATCACATCAGGTTGATACCTTGAAATGACCAAATTGCCATAAACTCTTCAACAAATTTCCACTGTTTTTATTTTGTGGATACCCTTTACTAATCGGTCTAAGTTATAATATTAAAGAAAGATAAAACATCAAATAAGAGATGGGTCATCCAAACCACCACCAACCCCCACCCCCACCCCCGCTTGAAATTATGTGAATGGCACTGCTTCCCTAGCAAACTTAGATTAGGGTTCTCGAAACTCACAAGGTCATTTTTGACATTCCAGAGACTTTTCCAAAAATATGAATAAAAAGGCAGAAAGAGCAAACCAAACAAACCAATTGAAGAAAGCAACTTACGATCCTACTCGTAAAAGACGGTTGGCACATGCCACATGCGAGAAGACAATCTGCGCTGTGGGAAGGTATGGACTTGGGAGTTGGGGCTGGTGTGAGATGTGAAAGGCACACAAAACCTTTTCAGGTTCTTGTGTGAAGACTTGTTTGGTGGCCTTATTTTCTGCAGTTATTTTGTGAATGTGTGATTCCCTTTATTTTTCTATTTTTCTTTTATCGGATATTATCAAAAATGTATTACTGAGAATTAATTTATTAACCAAATATATTTATATTTCCTTTTGGTATTGATATAGACTATAGAGTATAGATATAGAAAAAATAAATAAATATTTAGAAAAAGAAGAAATTATGCCCTTTTCTGTACGTCAATAAGACTCTTTCCCTTTCCCTAAATTTATACTTGTTTACTACTCATTGAGAAAGATAGATAAAAATTTCCCAACTGCAAACCGGATTGATGGTTGACAGCCCAACCTTCTTTGATCTATCGCCTTTTGGGTGATGTCACGTGAACCTCACCCTCTCCCTCCCTCCCTCCCTCTCTCTCTCTCTCTCTCACACACACGAACGATAGGACCACTTAATGATACCACCATCTCATCATGCCCCTAATATCTCATCCACTTATCACGTGCCAAAGTCGGCTGCGCACGTGTCATTTCTTTACGATTTTATGTTGCTGTGCTTCTTACTGTGTTGTGTTCACGTTTATAATTAAAGAGCCCACAGCCACCCCTTAATTTTTGGTAGTTGTGTAAAGCGTGAATACCACCCTTTCTTAACATATACATCTAACATATGCTCACATCAACCACCTTCCTTTTCATTTGATATTGAACCATTTTGTCTAACATTAAATAACCATCGGTTAATTAGTTTGCCATTTTTCACTTTTTCAGGTTTTTTTCTTTTCCTGCTTTCATTCATCATCATTTACCTCTTCTTATTCTCTTTTTAAATTTAAGGAAATTGTCTACAATTCATCATAAGCTTTCAATATTTCTCTTAAATTTACAACAACTTTTCAAAATGTTTAAAACTCACTATGTCAAAAAAATTTTATTTTTCAAAACTCACCTTCCGTTAGTGTACCATTAGTGTTTCTTAACAGAGGTGTCCATGTCAGCATAAATAATAATTTTCATGACCACATTACCCTTGAATGGTGATTTAGAGGAAAAATAGTCTTTTTCAGTTTTTAATTTTCTTGTTTTATATTTTTTGCATTTTTTTGTGTTTTTTATAATTTCTATTTTTTTACATTTTTCTATTTTCTATAATCTATAAATCTTTTGTGTTTTTTCTACAACTTTTATTTTCTTATTTTGTTTTTCAATTTCTATAGTTCTATAATTTGAAAATAATTTTTTATTTTGTTTGCAATTTCTATAATTTTTTATATTTTGTAATTTCTATGTTTTTAGGTATTTTATATTTGAAAATATTTTTTTGAACTTTTTCCTTTCTTCATGTCTAAATATTAAAATGGTAATATATTAACACCTATTAATTTATTTTGTATATATTTTATATTTTTCTATGAATGTTAAAATGGTAATTTATTAACGCCCGTTAGTCTGTTTAATGTCAAGTTAGTGACATGGCGAATTTTAGACATTTTGAAAAATTGTAATGAGTTTAAGAGAAATGCTGAAAATTCATAGTTAGTTTTAGACAATTTCCCTTAAATTTAATATAGTTACTTATTGAGAATTACTATGATTTTGCATCTTAATACACTTTATTAAATTGTCTTTCTATTGTATTAATGAAATTGTTAACTGTTGCAATATTCTCTAACTTGTACAGTTCATATATAATTTGCTTGGCTTCAACATGGGCTCAGTAGGTCAGTGATAAAGAATTCTTTGTTCACTTAAAAAATAGGATGAAAGAGGTTCCTAAATCACATTGAGTTGGGAAAATCCAGGCCATCCATCAAATATAACAGATAGATTGGATCTACCATGCATGCATGCTGTATCATGATCAGTCCACTTTAGTCATATGGCAACCAAGTTTTCCCAATTAATAAGGGCTATTGCTATCTTCAATTTTTAATTTCAAGGTATATCCATAAGGGAAAGCTTATTTAAGAACATGTCATAAAGTCTCTTGGTCTCAAGTTTTAATTTATTCTTTGAATGTTGGGTAAGGGTAGGAGGAAAGTTGGTCCTTATATATGGTCCCAACTAAATTGCCATGTGGAGGATTCCTGTCGTTTACGCCTCTTTGCTGACTGAGACAAATAGTTAAACATAGAGACAGAATTCAATCTAAAGGAGTATGAGTTGAATGTTTAATTAAAGTGGATGACTGAAATCCACATTCAATGAAATGTTTTCATGGCTTCAACCAGAAAACAAAAAGAAAAATTTTGATTTCAATCATTTGAAGACATAAGGCACCATCATCAAACTGTTAACAATGTTAAAACAAGCAAATTAAATGACCTTGGTTTTATTTTTGTTAGTGATTTATATAGGATATCCATTTTAGACTTATATTGTGTTAAGAAACACAAATGAAACGACTTCACCTCTTGTATTTTTTAAATGCTTGCAATGCAAGTAAATGGAGTTTTGGAACCAACAAAATGTACCATTTACAGAATAAATTGTCAGATATTGATGGCCTGCAAAATTCTCACCTTCAGTTGAGCAAGATTCATTACATCATCATCAACAATAACTGAAAATATCTCCTTCTTTCCAAGGAAATTAATTAAAACTACTTTCAGCAATGAGAGGAGGAACTCACTTCTTATGTTTTGTGTCATTACAAAATGGTATTTTGAATTAGATCGCATCTTCTTGTGCCTTAGAGCAACGCTTAAAAGACTGAATTACCTTGAAAACCACTTCATAGGGCCTAGTTATCTGTCAAACCAAATGAGCAAATGGCATAGAACTGTTGAGAGGCTTAGCCCTAGAATTAGGACGGGCATCATCCAACAATGCAGCTAACAATTAAGACGAAACGGCTTCTAGGGCAAATCAGTACTACGTACATAACAACAAATAACACTAGAACCATCCTTCCAAGCATGTTATCAAAGCTCCAAATCACAGCAAAGCTTAAGTTGAAGCAAATAAGTTTATTAAATTAAATAAACTAAACTTTGGGACCTCAATGGCTTTTTTAAATTGCTTATGTAAGGCTCAGTTTGGGAAGAGTACAAATACATACAAAATACAAAGTTTTGCACTCTATATATTTATATTTGTACTCCTTCCAAATGGAGCCTATATTTTATTAATACCTTAATTCCTTATGGCTCAGTTTGGACAAAGGAATACAGATACAAATATGTATCTGTAGAGTGCAAAATTTTAAATTTTATATTATTTTGTACGTATTTGTATTGTACATATTTGTATTTATACTCCTTTCAAATTGAGCCTATATTTCTTTTTTTCAAAACACACCTGAAAGTCCTTTCAAATACATCCCAAAATCAAAACATTCAGTTATTTTAGATTGATACATATATCAGTTCATAGCATTTTCACTCATGCCATCTTAATGAATGCTCTGTCTAGGATGGAGAACGACACATAGCTATCATGACATTCATCAAGAGCCTACCTAGCATTGATCGCTACAATTAACTTCCATCATGTGATAACCAAACTTTTCCACTATGCCATTTAACCCATAAATCACAATCTCAACAACCTTAAGTGGAAGGCAAGGTTTCTAAATATAGTGAAACAAAAGCAAGTTACTTTGTCGATCTCAAGTATATGGGTCCAATAAATTTCAGTTATACCATTAAGCGTCCCTACAGCTTATCTACATAGATACTACAAAGGAATGACAAAGCCTGCGTTTTGTTTCGTGGGCATTTTGTAATAGGTGTTTATCAAAATATCGTCATGTCATTACCAAATCAATATTTTTTCCATCATGTTCATCCATATGTATTGATATTCACAAAATCGGGTTTTGATTTATGTATATACACCAACTGTTGGAGAAGCTTCATTTTAACACTTCCCCCAACGGTAGAGCATTTATTCACTATTCCACTGATGTAGCACTTAGTGGTGCTTAGTTGTTAATAAATAGTTTATCAATTATTTTTCTCAGTTTTGAAGACAAATCAAGTACAAACATTTATTTAATAAATGGAAGATATACCAAACAAAATCCTGAAAAATAAAATGAAATTAAAAATAAAAATAAAACAAAACACAAAGGTTGGCCTATTAATAAGTAAAAGTTTCTTTTCATTTAGACTTGATTTATCTCTAAACATTAACCTAACCCAACTTCATTGTAATATCTACAATTTCTGATGCCTACAAATGACAATACGCCAAAATATAATGAAATCTCCATAAATATTAAA